CTACAGCCAAGACAGACAAAAAGTTCAAGCTTGGGGATCTCGACGTTGCGAACTTTTTCTTCGAAGTCGGTGTGGTTGCAAGAAAATGCGCACCGTCACGGCATCTCCCGATCAACCGGTTGCCAAAAAAACTTGCGTGCGGACATGTTGGGTAGTAGTCGTCGTCGCAGTAGTAGTAGTAGTAGTAGTAGTAGTAGTAGTAGTATTCATTCAGCAGCGTCGCACGGTACACCAGTGCTTGACGAACGGGAGACAGATCTCAGATCCGGCCGCTTGAAGCAGCACTATGACTATGACTATTGCATAGCTCTCAGAGGCACTTCTAAGCTTCCTTGAAGCAAATGTGTGAGCAGCAGGGAATCCCACTCAGCTCCTAGTCCATGGAATTTAGATCCATCACTGTAACTGTACAGAAAGAATATACCCTCGCTGTATGTCCTTGTCCCGTCCCAAGTGCTCAGGTGATGCTGCCTCATTCTTCTCAGAAGCTCTGCAGACATGGCCAGCCGCTGCTTCTTGTGTTTGGGAAGCCAACGTTCGCATCGCTCGGAACCCTTGCATACTGTGCCGTGACTTAGCTGATGTAGATGACGCACCGAAGTCTGGTGACAATGATCGAAGCAGCTCCTGCCGATCGTGACATCCTTCAGAGTGCTGGACTCCCAAGGTCGCCACACAGGTAGCACAGCACGTCTGATAGCCAAAATTCACCAAACTCGAACAACTGGGTACTGAGCATTTGGTGTTGCTCATCTTGCGCAATGCTGACTGAAAAGAAGTGCACTTCGGCGAATGCAAACCCCTGCGACACATTGAGCAACAGTGCCTATGTTTGGTACGCAAGTATGCTCTGCTGCATCCTGGAGTGCAACAGTATCTGATTCGAGATGATGGCACAGGAGTCGCGCTCTCCGACACAGGGCCAGTCGATGCAGTTGGCGCAGTCATGAGCCTAGGTTGTACACACCAGCATGGCATGCGTAAGTGCAGCATGTTGTGCTGTTGGGATGGCATATCCCACTTCGCTGCTACCAACTGAGCTTGCTCACTCGGCTCATGCCAATCGCAACTCGTGCGGATCTTTTCTAGCCACGCACTGGCCCGTCAGTCCTGTATCCATGCCCCTGCCTAGAGAACCACAAAACACCTTGGGTGACAGGCTCTCAGGCTAAGACAGTGGGTAGAAAATTCGGAGTGGGGACCTGGTGCCCAGCAGGGGGTTCAGGAAGATTAAACCCTAAATCCAAGAGGGATTCTTGCATGGGTTGGGCAAGACGTGGCCAGTTGCGTACTGTATACGCCACCAACGTGACCCTGTCAAAGTGGGTCCAACTCTGCGTAGCATGTTTGACCTCATGGCTGCTAAACAGAAGATACTGATCCTGTAGGGTATGCATTGTGCCCTGCAACATTTGGCCAGCATGTTCCAAGTAATGAATACCCTCTGGATTTTGCAACCACATGCCTCCTTCGTCATTCAGAGACAAGGCCATAATCAGGTTGCGCTGCGGCCCATTGTTGGTCCGTGTGTGGTGGCGCTCGGTTATTAACATGCACTGCCAAGCTCGTCCAGCGATGGCTGGGACAAACATGTGAGATAAGCCTGCAAAGTAATCGACAGACATTTGGATGCAGCGGTGTAGCTTTGCACAATCCCACAAAAGCTTGACGAGCATAGACCCCCAGTGAGAAACTGCGTGCACGACTGTCTTGCGCCATGAAATTCTGCCTGGGATCCTCAAACTCAATGTGGTATATCACTTGTCTGACGGCCGACCACAGTGAGCCCCGACCTTCCTCCAGCAGACTTCTTGCGCAGATCTCCGCGGCTGGAGGCTTTCGACTGTCCCTCCAGATCGGGGTTGGCATCGCTGACAATGGCCAGGTTCCAAGACTATGGCTGAGCTTCTCAGCATACAGCATAAAGCTTTGCAGATTTTCGGGCCACACGCGCTGCCTAGCCTCTTGCAGTAAATCATTTCTGGAAGTCATGCTAAGCGAAGGTGGTAGTGCCGCCGTGGTTTGTCGCCCATACAGGTAGCACAGACTTCGAAACAGCAGAAACTCCTCCAAGGAGTCACTGTATACATCTCTAGGCAAAGGGCAGGCTTCCACCGTGCTTGAGCACCACTGTACTGCACAATTGTTTGCATCATACACTCTGAGCTGCGCAAGCGCATGTGCCGCTGATGTCGCACTGAGTTCCTGGCTCACAGCAAACTATCGGCTCAAGAAGCACAGCTACAGACCCATTTGAGCTATCGGCGAGACGGTTGAGGGAAGCGATTGAGGGAACGAATAAATGAAAAGTGGAGTGGATCAGTTCTCCATGGAATCTGCATCATTAACAACGCGCATTGCAGCAGCCCAAACTGTTTGACACTGGAACAGACATCCTCGCGCTTCGGCGGATGCAAAATGCAGTGTCACAGCCACTGCTGCTCTTATCTACCGTGGAGGGCATCCTCCTCTGGATGCATTGCACACGCTTGGAGACTGATCAGATAGGCATTTTGGGCTAGGATTTTAAGGTCTGAGGGACGAGCTTTCCTTGGGGCGCGGTTATCATTACAGATGCGATATTCCCAGGAATCACCAGCCGTGGGGTAGCTCAATAATGTCCACTAGTAACCCTATCACCTAGATGAAAGATAACCCAGATAACCCGAAAGGTCTCCATGTGCACTGAAGTGCCCGTGCAGTCATCGAAGACTGGCAGCTGCACCACTGAACCTGGCGACACTTTGATAGGGCTGGTATTCTTATGACTTCCATCAGCTCCATATCGGCACAGCTGCAGTAGCACCGTGGAAGAGTGTTGGCACAATGCTTGCGCTGCATACGGATGTCTCCAGCCCTTGATGAGTGCTGGCAGATCCGCACCTGGAAAGTGCAGCAGAAGCGGATGATACAGATCACCTGAGTCCGTCCGGATTCTCCAGTCTGGACTCCCATCTACCCATGTATGCTTCTGGTGCAGCTATTTGTAGCAGATGATGATAGAATTCACTGACGTCATGCTGCGCAGCTAAGCCCTGCCAAGCTACAAAGACACTACGCCATGTGAGAGAATCGGGGAGATACACCCTACCCGATGCAGCCAGTGATGAGAGCCCCGCTCTCAGAGAGCCCGCACAGCTCCCTGGATCCGCAGCTAGCATGCTGCTCCAGTAAAATGCCTGAGCTCTGGAGTTTGCGTAACAGATATTATGCGGGTTCCGCAGAAGCCTGTTTGGCAAGCTCGGGTTCTGGCCCCCTGTCGGCATGCCGACCTAGGCATGCCAGCCACCGACCACCTAGGTGGATGGCTTCTCGCCCTCTGTTGCTGCCTTCGAGGTGTACTTCGGCTTCTGCCATTCGCGTCTTGGCTCCCAGTTGCAATAGCTGGTAGCACGATATGCGTCCTCCAGCTCCTTGGCTAGGTTGCTGCGCTGTCCTCTCTCCGGCCGAAGTCTTGTTCCCAGCAGTTTCATTGCCGAGTTCCCAGACAGGCGAACGAAGCATCGGTGGCAGCGATGGGCTTCCTCGTGGCGAAGGCTTAGGGACACCTGAAATGGGCATCACCTCCGAGCGATGGGGTTCGCTCCACTGTCGTGTGGACTTGAACTGTGTCAGGACTCCCGGCACCGTGAGGTTCTGCTCGAGGGTGTCCAGCATGCCCAGAACCTCCGTCAGTGGAATGGGAGGCGCATTGGAGCGAACTTCCTTCTTCTCGGGCGGGTTCCATTCGTAGTAGTGAAATACCGGGTCCAAGGCATTGCGACCTTCCGAGACCCACCCCACCGTCATCATCTTCGTCAGGGCCTCCTCGTCGTTCCGGAGTTCCTCCACCTTGCGTCGTAGCATCTGGCAGAGGCCCGACAT